CGGCTACCTATTGTCAAAGTGCACAACAACACTCCTTATCGTTGTTATGGACAAGTGGGTGGCTCGAAACGGGGGTGCACAGGAGGGGTGTAATTAATATGATTTATTGTGATTTTTGTATTTTACTAGGTTGGTGTAATGTCAAGTGGCGCACTTCGGAAGGCGAAGATCTCGTCAGGGGATCAATTTCCGAACTGGTAGCCACTAATAAGTTAATCGAAGCGACCCATCCTCCTGGGATCCCTAGAACGGTAATAGGCATGTCATGGGAGGGCAGAAGCTGGTTTGTATATGTGCTGGCCTCAAACATTGTAAATACCGAGTTCATACGACACTACGTTCCTGAGTGAAGGCTCCTGAGTGGGGATGTCCCGAAACGGGATTGACAAACGCCGAATGCTTTATTTCTTCATTTTCAGTTGAGGTCAGTTCAATCCCGTCTATGGTAGAGCCTTGCGAAAGGGCACCGCTACATATTAGTCTTGTATAGATACTTGTATCTATGGGTTTTAATTTTTTTATTCAGGTTGAACTAGATGAATTCCTTGACTTCCTTGATTCCTAAGCCTACTCTAGCAGAGATCTTTCCTAAGCTGCCTGACTAAAAAGGAATACTTTGAGTTCATTTCCATAGGGGGAAGGTCATTACAGCGAAACTGTCAGCGAAGAAAATCCAATTTCCCATGTTTTTTTTTCTTCATAGATGCCGCATCACGGCGAAACGCTTTTTGTCCTCATTTCCAGTAGTGCCTCATTGAGCTCGGACAGTTTTTTGTCCGCACTATTGCACTTTCGTGTCTCATCCCTGCGGTGTCCTCAACATCGAACTATTGCGGGCTGCCGTCTTCAATCCATTTATAACGGTACTTTCCAGGGGTAGCCTACTTGCATACACGTTATGGCGCTTGAGGGTGAATGTCTGGGTAGGAAACTAACTACGAAGGAAGCCCTAGAATCTGAAGAATCAGGCCCTCTTTTTCAGGCCCGTTATTGATATCAGTGTATGTAGGGAGATATTATTAAGTAGTGAATTAAGTAGTGAACTTTTAATCAGTCACTGCTCTTTGATAACGCATGAAATCCAACGTTATCACTGATTTTTTCCCATCAGAATACTTCCATTCGAGGTGGTCTTTTTTGAGAAAGATATTTCCTGCTCCTTAGCGCTGGCTAATACGCTCGCATTTCTTTCTTGCAGTGGGAACTCCACATATCGACTCTTCTACTGCCTGAGTAGGCCCACATGTGGGTGCACTCCTTTTTATGTAGGAATACCGAAAACCCTGACGATCTTAGCAATACATATTCAGATGGCGTCCCACCACAAAAGCCATTTATGCAGTTTCCAAAGATATAAAGACTGCAGTCACTCTCTTCAAATTGTTACCACGTGATGGTCCTTCAAGTTGGCCTTCTGTGGTGGCATGACGCCGCTTGTACATAGTTCGAATATGAAGATCCCCAGCGACTGGCAATCCAAAGGTGCTCCACGCACACGGTCTTCGTCCAGTGCCGTAACCAAATATTAACCTATGTGAGCTACGTAAATGGTTTGTCTTCCCAAGCAAGTCTAGTGGCGATCTGTTCGTAACTGAGAAATTGCAAATTCGGACCAACTGGCCACACCCATCATACTGCCCTAACTACTGTACAATAGAATTCGTGCATCGGAACTATCTTTCTTGTGGATATCTTTCTCATCGTCTTCCCGGTCAGGGGGACGGTACGAACGTGCGTCCGAGGGTGCGCGCGGCGAATTGCGCGGCAAAGTTCGTGACGATTTGTACGACTGCGGCGCCAATTTTCGGGGCACAAACTTGAAGTAGTGTAGTTTAGTAGGGTCGGATGATCCCCCTAATCCACTTTATTTGAAATTTGAGCCCCAATGACAGGCGCCAAACTCGTTCAAACCATTACGAACTTCGCCGCGCAATTTGCCGCGCGAATCCTCGGACGCACTTTCGTACGCATACCCTCCCGGTCATAATGCCTTTCGGGGTTGGACACGTCTTTCTTCGAGGTCAAGTTCATGAAAATGGCAATTTCGCATGCCATAGGTATGTTAGAGATTGTTCTGATGATATTTTCAAGTTTCCATTATGACGTTTGTCGTTATTTGTTTTAGTTTACATATGTCATGCTTTTCGCACATTCCTTTGATGATTTTAAAGAAAACATTTTCAACGATCAACACCTCCAATATGATTTATCATATCATTCACCCCATACTCTTTGATAATGCCAGCTGCTAGCACTTATAACATAATATCATATAGTATCACTTATTGTAACAAAGGGTGTACGACCAAGTCGTCGCTCGAGATCAGGCTATTTTTGATATCAGGCTTATCCTAAATCCTCTCTTCCCCAGCTCTCTATACTTAGCATGTTGCTCTATACCAAGGTGATCAAGTGAATTATATAACCCATTGGGGATTAGTCTGATTGTTCAGAAACCTCAAATGTGTAACGAATCTAGTTCTACCTTCATATTTGATATAATCTCTTTATTTTTTCATTCGGGAAGTAGGAAAAATGCCTGCTCTGCTCAGCTTGTAAAAGTTGATCATTATTGTTCCTAATTGTTGATATTTATTTATTCTGAATGGACTCAAACTCACCCTATCAGTCAGAAAATAAAGCTCGACGATAGGACACCAGAAAAGGCCGTCGAAAAAACTCTTCCGCAGAAGTCTCCGTTAATTGAGTGGCGCAACCGTGAGGGTAAAATGTGGCAAATGACCTTCTGAATTTATGAACTGAAAAAGTGAAGAAACGGAAGAAGGAATGTCTGGGAATCACTCGGGGAGCGGAGATGACGAAAACGAAAGGCGTTGGAAAGAAGTCGCGCTCGCTTAGAATCTGATGGGAGAGCGAAAGTGTGAATGGAGGAAAATGGATAAAAGTTGCTACAAGATGGAAACGTTTTCATGCTTTTTGTATCTTCAATGGTGGTAGTGGGCTTGATCAGCTAAATTTTGGTCCCACAACCGTGACTGTGTGAAACCGACACGTACAGCGAAGGCACTATTCTTCATAAAATTAGTTTCTAAGAAATCTCCATCTGATGAATCTGCGACGTTCCCGCATCCGTATACCACATCTGGCGCTGTCAGACCGGTAAACGGCCTATACAGGGCGTTATAAGGGCTCAGGGATTGTATCGGCTGAAACAGATTGCAGGCGAGTTTCAACGGCGTTTTATAGGCTCCACAATTACAATGAACTCCCATGTTGGGAAATCGGAGAAGTAGACGTGACCCATAACGACAGAGAAAAGCAGTCTCGGAAATTTTGACTTGGTATAGTCAGTTTTTGGTGTAATTCCAGCAACTGAAATCTCGTCCGAATCCTCTTTCATGTCATTCCCGTCAAGGTAAACTCGTACAACCTCTAATTCCGCTATTTCGAAAAGCCTTATTTTTCAAAAAGTTGACAGATGTTCTCGTTTTCTGCATCACCGATGCACTATTCCGCGACAACACTCCCGCTTTACAACCCGAAAAGGGTAAATGAAAGTTATCGTGAACTGTGTCTTTAAACAAACAGTAGCTGATCGATGATTTGTGAATCACCATGGGCGTCTTCTATACACTACGAGAAGAAAACTGGCTTAGCCTGACTGATTACTTGCGTCTCTTTTACGGCTCTTATGATTAATCGCTACTCATTTCCATGGTTTCCAGTGGTTAAGATAGATTCACTTCAATTCTTGTCCATAGGGTTTGATTCCATAGGATTGAATAGCGCTGTGCGTTCTTAGAAGCTACTCACTGGTCATGGACCAGCAAAGGCTCCAAAAGAACTCTACCCTCTTGGCTGAGCGTTCTATACGTCTAGAAGGTTGGAAAGTTGTACGCGGTAGTAAATGGCAGTAGGGAGTGGAAAGTTTTTGAGGTTTGAAGAACTATCGCTTCCAGCTGTTGACTTCTTTTCTTTTTTCTCGGATTTAAAGGCAATATCACTATTTCCAGGCATCTCCTTCCGTTTCTATTTTAATGCTTTAAAACCCACAAACCAGGTTCCACTACGTGCAGTGAACACAAAATGCACCTACTAATACAACTGCGATTTTGGGTGGAATTCGAATGCGTAGCGCATCCAACAGAGGCGTGAAATCCTCTGTTTCTAAAATTGGCAGTCCCCCTCTACCCGACAGAACTTTCTGACAACCAATATACAATAATATTTTTCTTCGGGAGCATGCCGTTGCAGACGATTAAAATGTTGTTGAGGGTTCTTCGAATTACGACTGATTGAAAAGGCATGTTGTTTTGCAGTTGTTTGACGGTACCAGCTCGTTCCCAAGGTGTTTTCAACTACCGCCAAGGCGTGTTCGCTCTCATTCGAACAGTTCTCGCTCCTTTAGTGCATCCGTAGACCACCCTCCCATCCACCCATAACGTTTCTATTCGATTCTTTGATTGTAGACCCTCTTTCATCGATAATCGAATGATTCCAATAACATAAATTGGTATTCTAATATTAATGATTTTTTCTTAGCAGAAATTTTACAGAGTAACCCTTTTTCAAACTTGCAAATTGATTTTTAGATTATTTGCTTTAATTAATCAGTGGATCTCAACCTTAGAGTTCAATCGAGCAGATAACCGTCAAAAACCTAACCATATCCGAGCAAAGGAGTCTTCTGCTGTTCTCCCAATCATCTTACCAAGTGTGGTCCTTAATACTGTTAATACCAATCGATAATCGATTAGCCGAAATGTTATTTCATCGTTTTCAGCATCGCTCCCAGTTTTATTGTTATTCTAATCGGTCGCCACTCGTTTCTATGTCGTAAATGTGGTCGTCGTCGTTGTCGTCGTCGCGTAGTGCTTAAAGGTGGAACCCCTTCAAATGGTGAAGGTTTAGGTGGCGAGCGTTGTATATTTCATTTTTGGGCCCATGAATTCCCAATCGAGCCTATAATTCGGCCAATTATTCGCTTTCCATCGATCCATCTATCGATTATTTACTTCATTGATCTGATAACAACATCAATGATATCTGGAACTCGATGTGTATGTTATACAGAACTGAAGATATCTCTTTTTTTCAGCAAATTTTGATAGAGAGCGAGAGTGGAAGTGTGGACGAGTTGTCTGTGTTCCTTTTTAGCCCTTCAATCAATATATTGATTTTTAGGCGCAGTGTCGCTCACGCGATCAACACGACGGTATGTTGAGCAAAAACGAGCCGCGTTCAGTGAATCGAGTAGTGGCGTCGTTAATACGAAGTATCGAAGATAGTCGATATTCGGCACCAGACAGGCCTGCCCAGTTGAGTGTTGAAAGTGCTGGACAGGTACGATTTCAGTTTATCATTATCAGTTACCTATGACTCACCTCCCTACGGAATCATCTTGAAACAAGGTCGAACCCGGTTTCTAACTTTTCAGTGACTCACTAATGTAGTAGAGACATTAGAGGGCAACCCCCATTTGGACGAATTTCTTTGTTCAGCAGTGAGCATCCAAGCAGAAAATTATCAGTTCTGAAGGCTGTTTTGACTAGTTTATCCTATTACTTTTTGCCCTCCGACGAGTCCTTAATGAGAAATCGCTTACTCCTTCACGATTTGCATATGTTTTGGAATTCCAATCTACTTCTCTTTCACTACCTTTCACTTTCACGAGAACAGGAAGTTGGAGAACGTCTCTAATCAGTTCCAACGAGTTTGACTCTTCGCAGCCGCTTTTAACAGCCCTACCAGAGCAGAGAGCCTAGGGATACATGGAACTTTAGGGATTCTAGGTGTCCTGTTAGATTTCTATTGCAAACTAGCTAATATTCGGTAACATAGGAAAAAGTGTCTGTACAGAGGAGATTCCAAATACAGGTTTTCGGGCAAGGGGATGGAATTTCCGGTTGGGTTACAGTCGTTGTAATAACCGGATCGCAAAGGAAATAGAAAAAAGAACAACAACAAATGCAGTAAACAAAAACTGGTGCAAACTTGTGGTATCTGAATTGCATACTGTGTTCATTTGGCATGGGCGCCCTATAAGTGCAATGCTTCAAAAATCTAGAAGATTTTGAAGATTTCTTTAAGGTTGAAAGGAAAGGGGGGTGGAGATGAATAACGCGAACTTGGCTTCCTGGGAAGAGAGAGCGTTGTGTTTGTTCAGTCTAACTTGTAGGGATTATAATTTCAAGAAGTAAGTAAACAAGTAAACATGTGAACAGAATTAATAATTTGCACTTAACGTTCCTTCAGTGGGTGAATAAAGAAAGGCATGATTGAAGTTTGATCGTCCCACAACTTGGGCTCATTTTTATCACGTGATCAAATTTTCTGGAAAATTTCGTCCAAAGCCTATCCATTTCTCTCATAATGAATATCTGGCGCATCAGTATTGAAATAATTTCCCACCATCGTTCAGACCTCATCCATGGAATTCATTATTCTCCTCTTAAACGCTTTCGCGAGCTGTCTAATAAGTAATAGTCGTAAGTGCAAGTTTGATGAGCATAAGAGAGGGGTATGGTTTCCCACTCAAATCTAATTTTTATTCCCCTAGAAGCCTTATGTTCTCCGATGTCAGCCTATCTGTATGCCCTTGTAAGGTGGAAGTGTTGGTGAAGGGAGGGTGGACTAGAAAGAGTGTAAGCGCTTGTTAAGGGAGGGTGGAATAGAAAGAGTTCCTCACCTTACCGTTCCAGAGATGGGGCTTTCGAGCACTACTCCCCGCAGCACAGTCATCTGCATTGAGCCCGACTAATCATGCCTTCACATACCTCATCGATGTCCTGACTGGTTCCTAGACGTCATTTCCTTCCCTGAACTCGTTGAAAAGTGTCAAATTCACTTTTTGGTCATTTCCATTTCGGTGAATTGACGGTTCCATTCTATGTAGAACTTTGTTTCTGAGCGAACCGGACGCACACGTATCCCCCTTTCTTCTTCGACAATTTCCGATTACATCATGAAAAACACTCATGCTCATTTTATGCCCCAATGGAACCGCTTACCTTACCGTAACCTGAGGCTCCTTTACCGCTTCCATTATGGTGCTATAAAACAAAAAAGTTATGTAATGTTTCTAGTTCAAACTTGCTTGAAGAATATGGTTGAACACCTCCCGAGCTGTTTCCTTTTCCTTAAAACCTATCTTGATTGCTTATAGAACAACTCTTCTTTTTCTGCTTCGAAAAAGAGGGGTCATGGGTAGAGCAGTTACTACATTACCGTTATGAGAAGATTCATTAAAAAGAAGTATATGGCGCCAACATTGTTCAATGACGTTAGAATGGGGCCTGAGCAAAGGGCAACGATAGGAAGCCGTCGACAGGAAATTGATCGTTCCATTCCGTCTGGGTAAGAGTAGAGGGTCTGGCTGGGAAAAGGGAAAATGAAGGTCAAGGACACATTGAGTAGTACTGTCCGTGGAGTTGAAGTCCTCTTAAAGGAAAAAGAGAAAATTTCTAATTTTTGCTGATTGATGATTGATGGCCTGACAAAGATGCCCAACCACAGTGCTATACCGCTCGCCCCTTGGTTTATCACTACTCTCTCCAATTCCACAGATTTCTAGGAAGGCATTCAATCTGAAGCCGCTGAAAACTTCGCAATGGTTGTGGCTAGTCCTGAATGTTAGATATCTCCACCGGCCTGAACGGGAGGGTCTAGTCGGAGAAGGAGAGAACGAGAATGGATCTGATGTTATTTGACCCGAAGTCAGAATAATCTGTAGGATTGTATTCTATGGGAAGCCGAAAGGTTGTATTCGGTGATTCTATGCGTAATTGTGGTGAGGTGTCAATCTGCCAATTTTCTTGAGCCTCAGTTTCGTCCTAACCCCCTTCCTCGCCTGATGACCGAGGCCTGAGTAGAGAAGACAACAGTTTATCAAATACTCTTCACGCAATCGCACCAATTTCCATCTACTTGATTTCGCCCAACCTCTTCTATTACGTTTTCCGTTGTTTTCAAACGACCAAAAAAATTTCTACAGAAGGTTGAGCAAAGTTGTTG